TGCCGAGGAACCAACAACACTTTGATTCTTTACTCTAGCGCATGAGGTCACGTGCTCACATTGCTGAGCGAACCCCTGGCAATATTCGTGGTATCTTTAGCCGCGGTCACCGTGCCGAAACCTTTCATGCTGAAACTAGCGCAGGGCCACCTGCTACGAACGTCCGGAAGGACGATCCGCAACCAACGGAGACAGCCATTCCATTAGCCCAAAATGGTGGTCCGCCTACGGGGTCGCAAGACTCCTGGGACACATATCAACGCAAGCCACGACCCTTGTAGGCTCAGCGGGGCAACCCGCCAAGTCTGACTTCGACTCTGGAACTGACACCGACACGTCATCAGATGACTAAGCGACGGCCCTAGACTATTCCGACATGCCCTCGTATTTTACGGAAGGACAGCAGGCCCAATGGCTGTTTCTAGGACACCAGAAACAAAAAGGCAGATGGAGACAGTTCATGAAGAAGCCAATTCGCAATGTAAGACGTGCTATCCGACGGGCACTTCGGGGAAGCAGGCAAGGGTCGAAACAAGAGCAAGGGCAAACGACGGCGATTGCATGGCAAAGGTATGCTAGCATTCCTGGCATCCCTTACTAGACCACAGTATGAAGAATGATTCCTGGATGCAGGCAGGGGCCGTAGGCGCGCCTCAGGAAAAGGGTAATAGGGGCGTCGGGGCAAACCGAAAGATGCTAACGGTAAAGCCATGGAATCTGACATCTGCCAGATTACACAACATTTCCGCCGCGAATGTCCCCAGGGCGATGGGGGAGGCAGGGGTCCGTCCATGCATGCGGCTCAAACCGATTCGGACATGCAGTATGTCGATTGGGAGGCGCTATTAGCCGACCCTGCCGACAATCCTACCGCGGCCGTTCACTTCATGGCTGCCAGGCATTTGAGTGCCAGCATGTCCCTCGAGAGATGCGCCGATGGGCTCTTCGAGGAGATATACGTTGGCCGCGACGATATTATCCTGGCAGCCTGGCAAGGCATGCCCGTCGCGGGGCAACCTGCGCAGATCGAATTTGTTGAGGCCTTCCATGCACGCGCCGACGTAGATCACGATATGGCGGGGGCGCCTGCGGATTCTGATGCTACAATTCCAGCGACAAAAGAGGGCATACACTTGATGCTTTATCCTCAGGTCATTGGCAATCCGATAAGCATTAAACCAAGTGACGATGATCCTTCGCGGGGAAACCCGCGAGATGCTGGCGACCATTCAGAACGCATCCAGTACGCACTGGGACATAATGAAGACCATCTTCTCACGCTGGTGGCTCGCGGGCGGTCTCCGGGCCGCCGTGGGCGACCAGCTAGTCGCCGAGTCTGGAGACGCGCGAATCGCTCAGATGATGGCGAAGACGAGTGAGGAGCTGAGGACGGGCGCATGCAGCGTCACGGTCGCGGCCACTCACGCGGGCGCTCGCGCGCGCGCTCCAGCGGCGCCCAGCGCCCTCGCCCTCCTGACATGAGAGCCCCAGGGGCTCCACCTGGGATGTGGGCGTTCGTGGGGGAACCTGCTTCAGAGGGGGGGGGCCGCCCAGCCGCGCCCGAGGCAAGAGGCGCGCAAAGCCTTGTCAGCTATGGCGATCATGGGCTGGCTCGCCAGCATATGCCCCCCAACGCGATGCGGTGCTGGCTCGACCGAGGCTGGGCCGAGCATGACATTCGCCATTGGTATTGACTTCGCAACGCCGAGCGGAATGACGAAGGCAAGATCGTCCGCGCCAGCGGAGGCAAGGGCACCAAGACGGTGGAAAACCTTCAAAGACGGGACTTCAAGAGGGCCGTCATCAGTGACTGGAAGACCTACCGGGGCACCGTCTGTCTTTGCGAATAGTTTGCCGACCACAGACCTACGTGTCCGATGAAGCGTCCATCGAGGAGCCATAATTTCGGAAGAAACCCGCGGGTCTGGTCTCGCGGCGATGGTCTGGGTCGCTTTTTGGATCCGACCAACCATCCACTTGCAGAATGTTTGACTGAAGCTGACTACCAGCCGATGCTGCGAGAGATATCAATCGGACCGATCGAATTTGGCAGCACTTCGATACGAATCACCTTCTGAAAGTATACAGTCGAGAATGTCATGCGGGGCAGCCCGCTTCTTCTTCTCATGAAGGTGCTGCCCGTCCAGAAGGCCATGAATGGGCTGGTCGTGAGGTTCGACCCAGAGCCTGAATCGTGCAACTCCGAATCCGCCTGCAGCTCTGGGGCGGGAGATACCCACCACGAGACTAACGCACAAATGCATTAGTATGACATGATAACAGAAGATATGGATCTCACTCTAGGCAGGAATGTCGCCTACCACTGCAAACAGATAGGTTGAATAGCTACCCCTGTCAGAAGCAGGGTTAGCGTTGATAGATATGATCTGGGTTGCAAGCGCAAGGCCAAGATCACGAACATGGCACTCGAGAGGCCGATTCCGCTTACTGCCCCTGGCGCTGGGGAACCTACAGTGCAACCTCCAGCGGGGGCACCCGCAGCGGAACGGCCAGAATCACCTTCCCCCAAGATGAAACCAAGGAGGAAGGCAAATCTATCCCAATCTTCTTACTCTTCAAGCTCGCACAGGTCACTTGAACCTGACCAGGTACCGCCACCGCCTAAGCAGAAGCAGAGGACCAGTCCAAATGACGCCGATCCTGGCAGCAATAAGTCCCAGCGGTCCGCGGGGAAACCCGCCGAGAGACATCGCCCCGGATGACCAGCAGCGGCCGCTGCAGCAGCAGCGTTTCAAGGCGACAGCACGCCGACGCCGAAAGATCCTGCATGCCTGCGCGGCCCGGCGCCTGGCGGGGCTCAAAGGACAGGCTGGGCGCCATCGCTGGATGGATCATCAAAAGGAGCCGCATCATCAAAGGACGGTGTGACTTGTAAGGTGTTGGAAACTACCTCAGTCGCATCAGGGGCGGCCCCCGGGGTGACTCCATGCCAGCACTTTGACATCCGTGAGAAGGATGTGGCATCTGGGGGCGCCCGCTCACCGGCAGTTCCTGCAGCGCCTGAGCCAGTAAGGGCGCATGGCGAACCAGTCGCTGCTCCTGCGGGGCAACCCGCCGCTACTTTCGAATTGCCAGAGGAATGCAAGCGATGTTCGGAGACCCCGGGCACCGCCAACCAGATAAATATCAACCCAGCGTGCAGGCCCTTTACGAATGACGGGTCCGATCGCTATGTCGCGGCGCAGCGTGACGCCAGGTGCACTGCTACACACGCTAACGACGATGCTCGCTCATGTCAGAGTGTCCGCAACATTTTGCGGGAGGAACATGCCCTCAGTTATCAATCCGAGAAGACGCATTTGAAGGTGGTTTTTAGAAAGGCAGATATCAGTACTGCAGTATTAAACAACCATGACAAGCGCGAGTGCTCGGGATGGCTCACAACCGCCACGCGGCACAAGCCACTCCACCACGACAAGCTTTCCGATGGGTTTATTTCAACTGTCACCACCTATGACGTGTGCGACGGCTGTGTAGAGCTTGGAGATGCACTCAATAACTGGCCGCCCGAAGGCCATGAGGGCTGGCGCGGGCGCCACCTGTAAGCTGTAAAGAGGTGCTTTCGTAACCGCCAGTGGGCCTATCAGGCACTGGCGGTGCTGGACCTCGGCGAAATGCGCGACCATTCAGGCATGCCGCAGAACAGGCTCCAGGTAGAGAAGCTCGAATTCACAGCGGCCCCTTGCGCGAGATGTCCCGAGTCCCTGTACAAAAGGGCAACCGACCTAACATCACCAGGCGGACCCTGCTATTTTTTACACGGCACACAATGAGTCAATATCCCGAACATACGCCACGTCGGGTTGTCATGCCGCGCCAGTAATACTAACGACGGAAGGGGCGGACAATTTATTCATGGATGCCCATACTTACCTGGAGATAACAGGATCCAGTCATGCCTGCGCATAGATTCCAAAGTATTGGTAATTCTGAGCCTCAAGAATCTACTTCGTGATAATATCCGAATTTGGCGTTCCGCCAACGATATTGTTATGGCGGCAGGCCGGGGCGGCAGGGTCCCGCCAAGCCATATTGTTCAGTTCATTGGCATCCTGCCTAACAGCACTTAGTGTGCACATGACCGAGTTGGACAGGTGTGGATTAATCCTTTATACATCGAGGACAACGGGCGGGGCAACCTGCGCGCTAGCAATTTTCTTCCACAGTCCCGCTACACAGTTCCGTATGATGCATCAACGTTAAGGAATTCGATGATACCGCAGACTCCCTATAATCTGAAGGTCCTTGCGTCGACACCCATGAAAGGGGTCGAATTCACCGCTATCTTTATGATGCAAGAGGAATACCAAGCGGGGGCACCTGCAGGGGGTTCAGATGGATCATGGATTCAGGCCCAGAGTGCGGAGATGTCTGGCATGACATCCAACGGGATCACGCCGCTTCTTGGGAGCCTCCTGAGGTCCCTTGGGGCCTCTTGGGGGCCTCTTGGAGCCGCTGGCCTCTTGAGGGCCTCCTGGGGCTTCCTGGGGGTGCCGAGGGCTCGGAATGTCCATTCGGGTCCCCCTATCGGGGCCCCCTTGGAGCCGTCGTTGGGGCCTCTTGGGTCGTCCTGGGCGCCTCTTGGGTAGTCTTGGGGCGATCTTGAGGGTTTCGAGGGCCTTCTGGGAGCGTCGGGAGGCCGAACAGGCGATAGAGCCAAAAAGCTTCAAACACCTAAGGACAATCAATGGTTTTGGTTTGTGGAAGCCCTGTTGGGAGGCCTGTTGGGTTTCCTTGGAGGCCTCCTGGGCCGTCTGGGGGCCATCTTGCGCGTCTTTGGCTGATCTTTAGGCGCATGGGGGCCCTCTTGGACTGTCTTCGGGGCCTCTTGGGGCCCTCTTGGCCCGTCTTGGGGCCCTTTCGGGCCAGAACGTTGACGCGGGAAGCCGCGGGGGAGCCCAGAGGGCACGCGACCATCCTTGGCAGATTTCGGAATCTGGGGCCCGGGCCCCTCAGAACCCTCTGGACCCGCGACCGAGGCTCGGGGGATTGGGCCCGGGAGCCGAGGGCACGCCCACTCCGTGCCCGGCGGCGCGGCGGCGGACCTCCCCGCCCCGCGCCCGGCGCGTGCTCGCTCGGAGCGCGCGATGTTCGGGTACGCGACCGCGCGGCAGCTCACGGACACGGAGAGCGACACCGCGGAGGAGCCGCTGGGGGCCCCCCGGCCGCTCCGCCCCCGGCGCGTGGCGGCGGCCCTCTGCGCCCCCGCGCTGCTCGTGTGGGCCAGCTGCTCCGTGGCGGCCACCACCGGAGAGGTCGTGGCGCCAACATGTCGAATTAGGCCTCCCAGAGGGGGTTCGGAGCCGATGGGGTCGGAGGATCGCGCCGCATCGCCGATGCATCGCCGGTGCGGCTCGATGCGGAGCCCGATTTGCTTCACGTCGACGTCGCCGATGCATCGGCGATGCATTGGCGATGCGGTGCGATCCTTCGACCCCATCAACTCGGACCCCATGTAGGAGGCTCCTAAACATCGCAGAACGGATTTCGTTCGGAAGCGATCGGATGGGCCCGGAGGGTCCTGGAGAGTGTCGTTCCGGATTTCGAAGTGACTTTCGCGCGGAGTTTTGTTGCCAGGAATGAAGTCTAAAAACATCCACGCAAGCTTCACTTCGTTTTTCACTCGCCGTTTCGGGGTTCAGCACGAAAGCCACGCAACAATCCGCAGATGGGGCGTTCCAGAAAGGGCCTCGCCTTCGAGAGTAGAAGGAGCTGCCATCTCCTCCGCGGCGGAAGGTCGGCGGAAGGTCGGCGGAAGTAGAACGAGGCCGCCTCCGCTGGCGGAATCCGGCGAAAGGCCAGCGGAAGGGCGCTGCTGCGCCGTCGAAGATCGAAGGAGTTGACACCTCTTCCGCGGCGGAAGGTCGGCGGAAGTAGAACGAGGCCGCCTCCGCTGGCGGAAGCCCGCGGAAGGGCGGCGGAAGGCGGCGGAAGTAAAAGATGCGCCCCCAAGAGATGAAGACGTTTTTGGTTCAGGGTTTCCGAAATCGCCCATGTCCAGGCGTGCCCTGTAACGCGTTCGGGAACTAGTGTCTGCCATTGCCTGGCACAGCAGAGCGCGCGTGCGGGAGTCCTCTGCCGCGCTGCGACAGGAACGGAGTAACGTGTTCGGAGGGGTCAGAAGAAACACGTGTTCGTGCCCGGAGGTCCGCAAACGTCTCGTCCACGGTTCGGAGCCGCCCGTGCGCGATTTCCAGGGCCCCGAGGGCCTTGTCCCTTGTCCGCGGCCGCTCGGTTGAGGGAGGGAGAGATGTTCCAAACGAGTGCTTCGCAAGCGGTTCGGGGGCACATTTTCGCGAACGATGTTCAGGTCAGCCCGAGATCCACATGGGGCGTTCCAACAAGGGCCCTGCCGCGCCGTCGAAGATCGAAGGAGTTGTCATCTCTTCCGCGGCAGAAGGTCGGCGGAAGGTCGGCGGAAGGCGGCGGAAGTGGAACGAAGCCGCCTCCGCCATCGGAAGCCTGCGGAAGGGCGGCGGAAGTAAAATATGCGCCCCCAAGAGATGAAGATAACGTTTCAGGGTTTCCGGAATCCGCCGTGTTCGTTGCGTCTGTGACTGTCTGGGGAGGGCGCCGACAGGCCGAGGTGCAGTGGATCTGGATCAACATCCAGCTTGTCGGGGCTGTCACTTCACAGTCGCCGTATCCATCGCGCCGCTGGCTTCGGGGGAAGGGAGCCCGGAAATCCAAGACGCAGTTGATCTGGATACAAAGCTTGCCCGCAGGTGAGACCCTCCGCGCCGGGTATGAGGGGCGACGCCGTGCTCGACGTTGTGAGCAAGGAGGGAAAGCAGCGGATGCTCCAGGACGACGACGTGAAGGCCCAACAGAGTTTCAGCAAGGCGGACACGGACGACAGCCGCTTCATCGATAACAAAATGGAGTTCAGCAGATTGATCCAGAGGGGCATGAAGAAGCTTGGCATTGACAAGGCAACTGCGTTGCAGCTTCTGAAGGATGCCGACTTGGACGCCGATGAGAAGCTTAGTCCCGAGGAGTACCAGGGCCTCGAAGGCACCGCCAAGAGGCTGAAAGTGCAGCAGCGGTTGTTCCAGGACGACGACGCGAAGGCCCAACAGAGGTTCAGCAAGGCGGACACGGACGACAGCGGCTTCATCGATAACAAAATGGAGTTCAACAACTTGATCCAGTGGGGCATGAAGAAGCTGGGCATTGACAAGGCAACCGCGCTGCAGCTTCTGAAGGATGCCGACTTGGACGCCGATGAGAAGTTGAGTCCCGAGGAGTACCAGGGCCTCGAAGGCACCGCCAAGAAGCTGAAAGGGCAGCAGCGGTTGTTCCAGGACAACGACGCCAAGGTCCAACAGAGGTTCAGCAAGGCGGACACGGACGACAGCGGCTTCATCGATAGCAAAACGGAGTTCAACAACTTGATCCAGAGGGGCATGAAGAAGTTGGGCATTGACAAGGCAACCGCGCTGCAGCTTCTGAAGGATGCCGACTTGGACGCCGATGAGAAGCTTAGTCCCGAGGAGTACCAGGGCCTCGAAGGTACCACCAAGAAGCTGAAAGGGCAGCAGCGGTTGCTCCAGGACGACGACGCGAAGGCCCAACAGAGGTTCAGCAAAGCGGACATGGACGACAGCGGCTCCATCGATAACAAAGTGGAGTTCAAGTAACTGATCCAGAGGGGCATGAAGAAGCTGGGCATTGACAAGGCAACCGCTGAAGGTTGCCGACTTGGACGCCGATGAGAAGTTGAGCCCCGAGGGGTACCAGGGCCTCGAAGGCACCGCCAAGAAGCTGAAAGGGCAGGAAATCGCCTTGTGAACCTACAGACTGGAATGGGTCGTCGGTCTCGATTTTAAAGCCTTGTGCTAGAGTTGCGCGCCACGGCGAATTTTCTCGAAGACTCCCCGGGCGAGTCACCACCGCCCACTGCATTTGAGGATACGCTTGTGTGGCCAAACGTTTGGGCAACGTTTGGCCACGCTGTTGGACCATGCGTTCCCCCAACTGTTGTGGAAGCCCTTCGGGCAACACGTGGGGGAGGAAGAAGAGGATGAGGAGAGGGTGGAAGAAGGAGGAGGAGGAGGAGGAGGAGGAGGAGGAGAATGATGAGGAGACCTCGTTGGTCATTCTTGGGGCCTCCTGAGAGCTTCTTGGGGGCCTGTTGGAGGCCTCTTGGGGGCCTCCTTGGGGTGTCTTGGGGGCCTCTTTGGCAGTCTTATAGTGTTCCTGGCCCGTCTGACGCCGTCCGAGCAATCTGGGGAGCCTCTATGGGCTGTCTTGGAGCCCTCTTGGGGCGCTTCAGGGTGGTCTTGAAGGCCGTCTTGGGCTTCTTGGAGGCTTCTTGGGCCGTCTTGGGCCCCTTTGGAGGCCGTCCTGGGGGCCTCTTGGGCCGTCCTGGGGCCGTCCTGGAGGCCTCTTGGGCGATCTTGGGGCAATATTTGGGGCCTCGTGGGTCGTTTTGGGACGCCAACATCCTTCAAGAGCCTCAGGGGCATCACATATTTGTGTCTCTTCGAACCTTGCTGGTGGACTTCGTGGAGGTTTCTTGAGCCGGCTTAGGTGCCTCTTGGGCGCTTTGTGGGGGTTATCGTGGTCTCTCTTGGGGCCATTTGCCCGTCTTGGAGGCATCATCTTGGGCGATCTGGCCGTCTTGGAGGCGAATTGACACATGAGGGGTGGATTTTCCCGGGCTTTCCGGGTGGCCAGCGGGCTGGGCCGAAGCCCCACGGTGAGTTCTTTGGGAAAGAACAAAAATGCCAGACATTCGGCACGCCGTGCACCAGTGTGGCAAGCCAGCAGGGGGCCGCGAATGACGGCAAGCGCGCGTCGCGTATCGATCCGCCAGCCGGGAGAAACAACAAGGGGGAGTGTGAGGGGGTGGACTTCGCCAGCTGCAGACCGAATCGACCAGTGTTCGGCCATGTTCGTCCCCTGACGGCTCAAGTCAGCCCCAGGAGCGCCTGAGAGGGCCCCAGCACGGCCCAAGACAGCCCCAAGAACGCCCCAGATACTCCCCAGTCGGGCCTCACGGAGACCCAAGAGGGCCCCGAGACGGCCCAAGAGCGTTTGAAGAGGGCCCGAGAAGTTAATGTGGTTCCGTCCCTGCCGTCGCCCGCCGCCGCCGCCGACCTTGCCGTACATTGCCGCTGCGAAATAACAAAAGGGCGCGCGCCCTCCCCTCCTCTTAGGTCGGACGCGCACTATAACACATAGTCGTTTATCTTCGTCTCTTCGCAATACAAATCATCATTGTGCCGTGTCGTTCATGAGTGTTCCAGCCGTTGAGAATGCAGATCCAGGGACCATAGTATAACAAGTCCATGTACCAGGCATAATGTTCGAAACTTTGAAAGAGCGCGATTCTACCGTCGCTGGCAGAAAACCGGGGGAAGTCACTGGGGGGTTCCAACCCGCCCCCCCCCCCCCCCCGTCTAAAACCGGGGGGGGGGGGGGCCCAACCCCCCCAACCCCCGGCCCATCATGAAAAGAGGGAGGGGCCACTACCAGTTCGAACCCCTCCCCCCCGACACCGTGCTCGCCCTGCGCTGCATTGCGGGCTTCGAGCTGACGGGGCGCATCGAGCGCGTGGGCGCTTTCGAGACGAAAAAGTGCACCGCGCCGCAGCGCGTCGATGAGCTGCCGTCGGAATCCAAGCAACTGATCGCCGAATTGCGCCGGGGCAGATCGAGCGCAGAGGATGATTTCCTGCATAAGAGCTGCGTCAAGGAGCACGGCGCTGGCTGGGGGGGCGAGCTCCTCCCCGAGCGCGAAATGGACGCGCATCTCGGGCGCGGCCAGTTGGCGCCGGGCGCTTGCAGGAGTTTGCCCGCGGCAGAGAGCGACCTATGCGCGAACGCCGTCGCGACTACAGACCCGCGGAGCGGCGACTTGACATTCCAATCGTGCTGGGTGCTGCTCTTCGGTCGGGCATCTTTCGCGCGGCATTTTTTCGCGCTCGTCTTGCTTCCTCGAGGCCGCGGCGCGGCGCATCCTCGCGATGCTGCGCGCGCGATGCGTTAGCGACGGGGGCGCGGTCGATCTCGCCTCGGCGCGCGGCGCCTGACAGTCCGCGGCGAAGGATCTGTTTGCGCTGCCGGGCACGCCCGCTGCCCCAAATAAGCAACGGCCGATGTCTTCCACGTAGCCGTTCCTAGGCGTGCGACATGACCTGTGGCGGACCGGCGCGACTGGCCCGCGCGTGGTTTTCTAGCCACGTGATCAGCTCGTGGATATGTGACAAGGCTCTGGCGCTGATGCAGGCGGCGCTCGCGAGCGATTCGCTCGCGGCACTGGCGCCGGCGCCCGCGGCAGCGAATCGCCGCCGCGGGCAGCGCCTCCAAGCTGCGGGGGCGCCCTGGGACGGAGTGGACCAGGCGGCCACTGGTTCTGTCAAGCAGCGCCAATATGCCGGTGTCCCGCCGCGGTCGCAGCGACGCGCTGCGCCAGAGCTTCGATTTCTTCGGCGCGATCCCCGAGGGGCCGCCGCGCCGTCCAGCGCCCCTCCTGCGCGCGCCCCGCGGGCCGCTTGCGGCCATTGCCGGCGACGCCCGGGCAGGCGGCGGCGGCCCCCCGAGGGGGGGGCGCCTGCTCGTGGACGCAGCCGCGGGCCGCCGCGCGTGGCACTGGTGCTCCTTCGAGCCTGCGCCGCTCGACCTCTGGGGGTGCGCCCGAGAGTAGCTCGACGACGGCGGCGATCCAATCGCAGTTTTCGAAGGCGCGGTCGCGCGCGGCCCCCTCTTCGCATCGGCGCTCGCGGCGCGCGCGCGGGGTCGACGACCCCCCCGGCGGTCGCGCAGGAGCTGCCGGCGCGCGCGAACAGGCCCGCGCGGCCTCGGGAGCGGACGACCTCGACGCAGGGTGATTCGGTTCGTGGACAACGCAGTTTCTCTTCGCAGCTTCATTGAGGGGCGCGCGTCGCACGCCGCGCTTGACCGCGCGATTTCAGTGGCCAAGTTCCTACTGGCGAGGACACGCCTGGGAACGGTCCCTGGCCAGGGCGCGCGCGCTTGCTCCGCGCTGGGCCGCGCGCGGGTCAGCGTCTGGGTGGACTTCGTAAATTCCGGAGGCAATTGGGCGGGCGGCGACTCGCGCGATCTAGGCGATGGCGCGTTCGCCCGCGGCCATGGGTTTCACGCGGCGCGCGCGGGCGCGCCCGCCCGCGCGCGCGGCGCCCCCAGGCCATTGGAGGGAGCGCTCGCGGCGGGAGGTTGGCTGGAGCTCGTGGGCCACCGCGACGCCCGACGCCTGGGGCGTGGCACGGTCGCTGGCCGAGTAGGCAGCTGCCCCGGCCCCCGCCGGCCCAACGCCGGCGGCATCGGACTCTGGCAGCCCATGAGACCGCAGCGACCGCGTTCGCGCGCTGCCAAGCGGTCTCTGCAGGCAGGAGCTGCGTTGGGGAGCGCGAAGTAGGTCTAGGTAACAGCGCTGGGGGGCTTGGGCGCGCCCTGCTGCCTCCGGGGGGTCGAGGGGGCACCGCCCCCTTATTGCAATTCCGCTTCCCCCGACCCCTGTTGGAACCAGGTCTCAGATTGCTCCAGTTTCGGGGTGGGCGCGTGAGTTCGGGCCCCTGCCCCCCGCTCGCGCAGGGGGGGGATCGCTGGTCGGGCGCGCGGTTGCTTCGGGCTCGCGCAGGCCCGGGCGAGCGCCCCCATGCCCGAGTTTGGCGAGAGGGCCCCCGCCCTGCGCGGCCGCCGCCTCGCAGCGCGCATCCAGGCGGCGCGCGCGCGGGCGGGGGCCCGCGCAGGAGAGGGCGGGGGGGCGCCTCGCTCTCCCGCGCGCGCGGGTGCCTATGTCATTTCCGCCCCCGCCCGACCGCGCAGCGCCTGGGGCGGCGCGGGGCGAGGCGAGGGCGCGCCTGCCCTGGTCTCGGCACGGGGGGCTTGGATCTGCCCTGCTGCCTGGGGGTCTGGGGGGGCGCCGCCCCCCATTGCTACTCCGCTCTCCCCGACCCCTGTTGGGCCCAGGTTTCAGATTGCTCGGTTCCGGGCTTCGGGGCGCGCGGGTCAGCCCGGGCCCCTGCCCCCCGCTCGCGCGGGCGAAGCAGCGCCCGGTCAGGCGCGAGATTCTCGCGAGGCTTCTCCCCGCGGACAGGGGAATCCCTGGGCGCGCCGCGGCTGCCGACGCGGTCCCACGCGGGCGCAGCTCGCGCGGGTTCTCTGCCAGGGACAGCGCCGCTCCCTAACGGGCTCAGCAGAAATTCCGGGTTGGTTCAGCCGATCTGGGGGGCCCCGATGCGACGCTATTAGAAGAGAGCCAGATTCCTCGGTGCTCGAGTTTCGCCGGCGCGCACGCGCGAACCATTGGACACATTGGGGGCGCGCGATGACATTCAATCCCAAGGTGTTTCGAGGCGCAAATTCCGAGTGACCCTTTCGGGGCGCCGATGTCCAGCCGGCGCCGCCGATGGGCGGGCATCTCTAGTATCATCGCGCTTCATCGCCTGGGCGCGGCGGGCGACAGACCAGCCGTCATCTGGAGTGTGATGTTCGACTACTAGCGGGCGAGCCAGGCCGTCGTGTTCTTCTGGGCGCAAACAGTTGGATAGCTCCAGTCGGACGAGACTGTTCCCCCGATTGAGGAGGCCGCCAATAATGGCACGCCTGCGGGGGGTGCTCGACATGCTGAGATACCCAAAGCAGATGCATTGAGGCTTATATCCCCAACAGGA